GTGCGTAAATTTGACCCGCTGGCGCTTATAGGGATAAATGCCCCGTTTTTTGATATGGTTTTATCTAAACAGTTTTTAACAACAGGGGATTGTAACTCACACAATTTTAGTAAAAGTCAGTGACTGGGAGACTTGAATGTTTTATTAAAAATCTTTTATGTGTGATTTAAAAACAGCCACGGGTAAAATTTACCCCGTGGCGGTTCTAGTGTTAAAATGCATCGGGCTGCACAATTTGGCACAATTTTTTTGGGATTACATATTAATATAACTATACTAATAATTACTGAATTCTTTTTATTAGTATTATAAAATTTTATATTTTATTATATTTTAATTTCTTCAATTCCAAACATTAAAAAACCATCAAGCTTTTATTTTGACAGAAAACCACAGGCAGCCTAAAGCTTCTCATCTGACGTTTGGCACATGCTGTGTTTTAAATGCATGTTAAAGCGACTCAGAATCACAGCAGATGCAGATGGAGAATAATATTTGCACTGAGCCACATCACGATTTCAGTTTTATTTTATTTTAATCATGCAATCCTATGCATGTAACTCCATTCTGAACATCTAGAGAGAGTTCATGTTGTCTCATGCAGAACATGCACAGCGTGTCATAATCATCACAAGTATGATATTATGAAGATTATTAAAGACAGGGTTAGTACACACTCACCTCCCACGTTGTAGCCGAGGCATGAGTTCTGGTCGCAGTATCCGGGTGGGCCGGGCGGACCAACAGGTCCGGGAATCCCAGGTCTGCCGGGACTGCCGGGGTTACCGGGGCGACCAGATGGACCTGGACTTCCTGTTCGGCCTTCACCAGGAGCTCCTGTGGCACAGCAGGAAACAGATTCTTCAGCTATACTTTTTATTCTTTGGAGTCAAGTGACTAAACACACACACACACACAATGCTGGACTGATTTCCTCAGTCACTGATGAATCACTCACATTAATTAAGAGAGTGAATACAGTCAGTTGTAATGTCATGTGACTCTTCAAATGACATTTTCCATTTCAAAATCCCATACATTTCCAGAATTATATCTGCAGATTTCTCTATAGAATTTTCAGATCATATTTAACATCTGTTTTGTGTGTGTGTGAGTGTGTGTTCACCTGGTGGTCCAGCAGGTCCTCTGGGTCCCTGGACTCCCACACCTGGACTGCCCTTCTCTCCCTTCTCACCCAGAGGTCCTGATGATGATAAACACACACACACACACACACACACAGTTTAAGTGTGATTCTGCGTCTTCTCTGCTCGCTCCATCATGAACAGCTGTTTTTCTGACAGGCTAGTGTTGTCTGTGTGCTTCAGGCTGTAAGTACAAACGCAATGATCCACCTCGCGCTCCCGGCTGGCCGTTCTCTCCGTTAGTGCCAGGGAATCCCGGTCGTCCCGATGGCCCCTGCTCTCCCTGAGGTCCTGGAGTCCCCTGTCGTCCCGGCTCTCCCGGCGGTCCGGGAACGGTGCGGATCGACACTGGCTGACTAGGAATGTGGTTCAGAATAGAACTGTACCGCGCCATGTGACCTGCGACCGGAGAAAGAGACGTCAGACATGCGAAAGCAATCCCAGGATGCCTTGCGTCCGCGTGTCTGTGGACTCACTCTGGATCAGCTGCTCGCACACTTGTCTGGCTATGGCTTGGACAGAAGCCGTGGACTGGACGTCACCCTATTAAACACACACAGTATGAATGAAACAGTCTGAGAAAGTGAGGATGTTCTCGTTATCTGATCAGACTCGTTATCAGACTCACCCGCTCACCCTTCTCTCCCTTGGGTCCCAGGTGTCCCTGAAACAGACAGAGGAGGTTTCAGCATCAGTTCAGTTGCTGCTATCATGTGCACATGTGTGTGGAAACACGTACCGGAGGACCCTGGTCTCCTGTGGGTCCTGGAGGGCCATTTTCTCCCGGGGCCCCTGGTACTCCCGGACCACCCTGAGGATGAGAGGGGCCGGTTATAAACACACTCTGTCGACTACAGCTGAACAATACTGGAAAAAACGGACACTGCGATATTTTGTTCTTCTGCCATATGAAAAAATGCAAGATTTTCAGCAGATGACTTCAATAGCTTTATTTGTAAAGTATTAAACATTCTAGAATGACGGGTGATTTTGTTGGGCAATATGTCTGAAAATAAATAAATAAATAAATAAAATGAAATAATACATACATAAAAAAATACTATTTCTTGAGTGCAAACCATCCTTTTAGGGCTCAACAGTTTGGGAAAAACTTGGGTGTTGAAACATTTATTTTGCATAAAGCGCTAAAGAAGTAAAGGTGACTTGACGTAAAAAAAAAAACAAAAAACATTCCCACTGTTGTTGACTTATTTAATATGGCAATAAAATAATAATATTTGTTATGATTTTTATTTGAGATTATTACTTTATAAAAATATTAAATAAAGTAGGGATTTTTTTGTATTGTAAAATAAAAATGTTCTATTTAATAAATAGAACATTTTATTGTATAGCACAGCTGTAAAATTACAGTAATAATATTTACATACTAATTTCTTCAGTTTCAATGTTAAATCATTAATTTTGATGGTTTGCTAGCAAATAAACATTTAAATAAATATTTTAATATTAAGGGCCAAAAATCTAATTTGATTGAAAGTAAATGTTGCATGTCCAAATATATTATATTAAAAATTACCACAAAAAAAAAAGTAAACATTTTTAATTAAACAAAAAAAAAATTTCTCTGTTTAAATATTTAATCAAACTCACAGTTTTTTACATTTCAATGCAAGAATAAAATAAAAAAGTTGAAACAAAAATTTAATTTTGAATTTCCCCTATGTTTTCCCTTCTTTTGTAATATGGCATGGGGGGCCATGATCATGAGCTGCACGCGTGTAAATGAACACAGTAACACGCTTTACTCTGAAATACATATATTGATTTTTGACAATTGCACTAGGCCATATCACGATATTGATTTTATTTCGATATACCGTGCTGCTCTAATATGAGCCTTACGACACCTCTATCACACGTCAACATGCTCTAACACGCGTGTTTGTGGACTCACTATGGTTCCCGGTGGTCCCACTCGTCCCTGAGGGCCATCCTGACCCGGCAAACCCTGTGGAGGACGAGAACACACGTGATCATACAGCCAAGCGCAGCGTTAGCATGATGAGCGACAGCACACGTGACGGACACATTACCCGCGATCCTGGAGGCCCGTCGCGGCCTGCAGGCCCTGGAGAGCCGGGAACACCCTACAGGAACACGAGATGATCTTCAGACACACAGCAGACAGACAGACAGAGAGCGAAGGAGAGCAGTGAGTGATTTACCTGCAGTCCTGAAGGACCGGCGTCACCCTTCTGTCCCGTCTCACCCGGAGCCCCCTACAAAACATCAGTTACTCAACATGAAATATATTAATTCACAGCTTCTGTACATGATGTTTCACAGAAATATTATGCTTGCAGTGCAAACAAACATCTAGAGGAAGTGACCCTAATAACTCCAATCGTGCTTTTATTATGAAATTATTTCTTTTTCACCAAACACTCTGACATTTTGCAGCGGATCAAAGGTTCAGATCTTAAGGGCTTTGGGTACATCTACACAGCAACGATGTACACGACAACGCTCTCATGAGTCCGCTCCAGCCTATGAGTCTGATCGAGCCCACTCCAGTCCCCGAATCCGCTCACAAGCCCACTCAAGTCCCCAAGTCCACTCCCGAGCTTGCTTCAGTCCCCGAGTCCACTCCCGAGCTTGCTCCAGTCCCAGAACCCGCTCACGAGCCCGCTCCAGTCCCCGAGTCCGCTCGCGAGCCCGCTCCAGTCCCCGAGTCCACTCCCGACCTTGCTTCAGTCCCAGAACCCGCTCACGAGCCCGCTCCAGTCCCCGAGTCCGCTCGCGAGCCCGCTCCAGTCCCCGAGTCCACTCCCGACCTTGCTTCAGTCCCAGAACCCGCTCACGAGCCCGCTCCAGTCCCCGAGTCCGCTCGCGAGCCCGCTCCAGTCCCCGAGTCCACTCCCGACCTTGCTTAGTCTATGAATCGAATTATGAACTGTCTGCCTGTCCAGTTCTCCCAAATATGTCTGATTTTGAACTGTTTGTCTCTACCGCTTCAGTCAATGCATCTAAATGTGACCCTTTTGTCTGTCCAGTAACTACCAAGTAAGCCATCAATGAACTTTCGACACTGTCTGTCGCGGCCAAGGAGACTACTAATGAACTCTCTGTGTCTTCTACCTTCATCCTTGGGACCGTAAATACACTGTCTGTTTCCTATGTTTCAGTTCCTCCGAGGTCTCAGTCTCAGCCCTGGTTTCTGACGTATGTTTCAGTTCCTCCTGGGTTTCAGAGTCTGCTGTGGTTTCCAGTTTCATCTGCTCCGCCATGGTGGTCTTCAGCTCCATCTGCTTCGCTCTGGTGGTTCTCAGCTCTATCTGCCCTGCCGTGGCGATATTCTGCTCTGCCGTGGTGCTCTTCTTCTCCGTCCTGGTGGTCTTCAGCTCAGCCCACTCTCCCCTGGTGCTCTTCAGCTCCACCGGCTCCGCATTGGCTCCCTGTTCCACCCTGGCTCTCTGCTCCGTCTTGGCTCCCTGTTCCACCCTGGCTCTCTGCTCCGCCTAGGCTCCCTGTTCCGCCCTGGCTCTCTGTTCCGCCTTGGCTCTCTTCTCCACCCTGGCTCTCTGCTCCGCCTTGGCTCCCTGTTCTGCTCTGGCTCTCTGCTCCGCCTTGGCCCCCTGTTCTGCCCTGGCTCTCTGCTCCGCCTTGGCTCCCTGTTCCGCCCTGGCTCTCTGCTCCACCTTGGCTCTCTTCTCCACCCTGGCTCTCTGCTCCCCCGTTCCCTCCGGGACTCTGGCCTGTTAAGGGGGGGGGGGTGCTCTGTCACGTGCCCATGAGCTCCACTAGAGGACACTCTATCCCATGCCCTTGTCACTACTCACCCTGGACTCCATTTCCCAGGTTCCTTCTGCCTAGGAACCAATCACCCGTTTATATCTGTTTCATACCAGGAGGACTATAAAAGATGCACACACACTCACTCACATTGCTCAGTATTGTTTTGCCTGTTACGTTTCTTGTCTTACGCCTTGCCTTGCCTTGCCTTTTGTGTGTTTTGATCTTGGACTGTTATTCTGTTTCGTGATCAATTGCTGCCTGCCTTGACCCTTGCCTGACTTGTGGATTACTCTCTTGCCTCTGCCTTGGATTATTGTTGTTTTCCATTGTCTCGACCCTGCTTGTCTGACTACATTTAGCTTAATAAAGCCTGCGTTTGGTTCCACTACTGCGTTGTCAAGCCTTCCCATCGTTACAACTGCATTGTCAAAATGATCCCCGTTCACACAGATCTGCAGAAACAACTCCAAATGCTGTATTATTCATGCCAGGCCAGTAGGTGGCTGTAAAGAAACACATGTGCATTCCTACAGACTGAACACGTCATACGCAGGATGTCAGTTTTCACAAATTGCATGGACACAGGTGTTTGACTATAAAGATTCGACCCCATCCACTGTCTGCACATTTTCTCTTCCAGAGTATTTTTTTTTCCAAAGTTATGAGCGATAAAAATGTCTTTATACTTGTTTAAAGTTGTGCTTGTCTTCTAATCCCTCACACATGTAGTCATCAATGCATTGTTGTCTTCAGTAGTTTGTTGTTGTTCTTGTTCCGTCTCCTCTGTTTCTTTTTTCATTGCCCGGTTCAGTGTTGACACCTTGTGGACAAACTCAGTACTGCAAAAACAATTCAAAGCGCATGTGCGAGCTGCGCACACATTGTGTGCACGGTTACAAAAATCTGGCGGTGCGTGTCTACCGATCTGATGACAAAATTCGCATCACCCACACTTTACGTATATTCTAACTTACGGGAAAGAAGCGAAGTATATTTTGAACAAAACACTTCAATAAGCCCCCAAAGATGCTGTTTTACTCACATCCAGTGAAAAAACTAGCTAAGAAGATTGAAAAGAAATTCAAAATGAGCAGATTAATGAATCAAATGCAACCTGATACAATCTTTTTCTTTAATATTTAAAGTCGACATGAAATGTTAATTCCTTATCTATTTTACAAATGCATGTTAATGATCTTCCGCTGAAATGACAGTCTTCTCTCTGGTGACGTATACAGGACTTCTCCAATCCTTTAGTGCACTCATTTAGTATTAACTGAATAAATGTGTTGAGTTTATATGGAATATCATCTTCTAGCCAGTCTAGTGGATGTCTAGATATAACTGAGATCTGTGTGAGATTAACAGTGTCACTACACTTCTGAATGAATGTCTCCGATTCAGTAGTTGTGAATCTGTGTGATCAGTGAGAGTGAGTGACTAAAGCAGTGTAAACTAGGGCTGGAGAACTACATTCAAATTACTTAAATAACAATAATAATTGAATTATGTTTGAATTCTAAAGACATACTTTATGTTTGAGGGCTTCTCAGTTCTGGCCCTTGAGGTCCACTTTCCTGCAGAGTTCAGCTCCAACCTTGATCAAACTCACCTGCCTGTAACGTTATAGTGATCCTGAAGACCTTGATGAGCTTGTTTAGGTGAGTTTAATTAGGGTTGGAGTTAAACTGTACAAGAAAGTGGACCTCGAGGGCCAGAGCTGAGAACTCCTGTGTCAGAGGGAAAATGAGCACAAAAAAAAAGAACCGAACTTTATTGACAGCAATATAATGGACATGACTTTGTTGCATAACATTTAAATGTACATAAATCAAATATAATTTCCTAGATCTGCACACAACAAAATGGAGATAAAAAGGTGCATGTAGATAAGGGGAAGTGCATCAGTAACATGGGAAAACAAACAAGACAAAATAGCAAACATTGCGGTGTCAAATGTGTGAAGCGACGTGGTGTTAGCATGTTACGGATAAACGCTTAGTTTCACGTAGTTTCAGTGTTTGAAGGGAAAAATGTCAAATAGTGACAGAAAACTGAATTATTCCATTCAAGTCCATTCATTCTCCACTCTCATTTTCAGCCATTCATCTTATTCATCTTTCATCTTAACAGTGCAGCAGTGCCGCATCTAACGCACTGAACTAGACAGGCTAATAAAAACAAACTGCGTCAGCTGCGTCATCATGTCTCGCGCCTCCTGACACACTTAAAATACGGATGTAAGTGTTTTGTGTTTGAATGTGCATCTCGTTTAAAAACTCAAAAAATATATGAAATTCGAATTTGACTTTTACAGCCCCAGTGTGAATGTGGAATCAGTGTCAAGGTGCTGTTAGTTACCGGAGGGCCTCTGATAGAGCGTCCGCTGGGCCCCGGAGGACCGGGAGGCCCCTGAGCACCCGGAACGCCAGCGTCCCCCACTGGACCAACAGGACCCTTCACACACACACACACACACACACACACACACACACAGGTGTGTGTTAATCTACTCATACAATCACACTTATAATCTCTGGAACTCATTTTGTGAATGTTAGTGAGGTGGATTGTGGGTAATACTGTACCACAGGGCCGGGTTCACCTCGATCTCCTCTGGATCCTCTGATGCCCGGACCTCCCTGTCACACACACACACACACACACACACAGAGTCAGTCAGTGATGTCTGAGATGATGATGATGATGATGAAGATGATGAAGGGCTCGTACTGGGGGGCCGGCGAGGCCAGGGGGGCCCTTACTGTCCTGAGTGCAGGTGCAGGCGCGCGGGAGAGATGGACACTCAGCTTCCTTTCTCTGCAAACAAACAAACACATCCGCTGAATCACACTGTACATGAACATGCATGATGATGTGAATCTCTCCATGAGTCGCTATGAAATCATTCACATGAATCAGCTCAAACTTGCAATGACACACACACACACACACACACTCACCAGGCTGGGCAGCTCGCAGCATTTGTCCCGTTGAGCCCATGACGTGCTGCAGACAATATCAAAGGACTGCAGCTGAAACTAAACATACACACAGATGTGAGGCGTGTTATTCTAACTCTGAACCACATTTATGCATGTATTTCACATTGATCTCACACACACACGGTACCGGTGCAGAGTTGTCTTTGGATCCTCTGGATCGCACCATCCGTCCCAGAACCTCCACGCCATCAGTGCTGATGTTTTTGGCCGCATTAACAGGCTTCTCTCCCGCCGGTTTACAGTCGACCATCACAAGAGCCGACGTCTTACTGACGGCGATGTGCAGCTGCGCTCACACACACACACACACACACACACACACA